ACTTACAATGTTCACTGCCTTCAACAATTTGCAATAGTAGTTATTTTTATTTTTATTTTTCAATGATCCAGTTTAAAATTTTTAAAAAGACAATGCATTTGGGATTCCTATCTTTTTCCTGACATCCGGTTTGGTTAATTTCTTTCATTTAGTCATACTATTATAGCATTACCTTGTGATATTCTATTCTCAGATGTTTGGAAAGATTCTCTCTTACTGCTCTGACTTCGAATTTTATCAATTAAAAAAACTTTTTGTTCTTATTAATTTGTAGATTTTCATAGATCTTCAACAAAAAGGAAAAAAAGAAGAAGGAAAAACAGTTCTGTCAATTAGGCGTGATTGAAAATCGAACAATATACTATTAAAGCAAAAACAACATAAAAGGGGAAGTTAAAATGTCCAAAAATCATGGCTATGAACTCAAAAACTTACCTGAAATTCCTTTTTTTCGTCAACAAATAAACAAGAAAATAAGATTTCAAGATCAAAACAAACGAACACCTTACCTAATAGAGTGCATGATGACAAATCTCACGATGCCAGTAAATTAGTTTGAGTGTGAAAAGGCAATCTCCTAATCCTCTCTTTTCAATGATAGAGATTATAAGTCAATCATGATAAATTTCTATCAATTTCTTTTTTCTTTTTTTTTTTTTCTTTTTTAAAATCTTGTTCAATCATTCTCCAACATATTGGTGATTGGAACTTCTAAGACATCATGACAAAAATAACGAAAAATATAATTGACTTATTTACAATGTCATCCAATATAATTATTAAAATATCTAGACTAGCAAACATGATGAAGTGTTTTACTTGAAAAGACAATTATGTTAACTCTTTAAATTAAAATAAATTTAGTAAGCCCTTTTTTTAGCCCCATTTTTTTTACAAAAATTCATTTTTTTTTCAAAACTCATTTTTAGTCACATATTCTTTAATAAAATAATTTTACACGTAAGTAGAATTTTTTTCTATTTAACCTCGCATTCTTAAAAAAATCATTATTCAAAAATACAAATTTCCCCCCAAAATGTAGCTCAAACAAGGATAAATATCAGGAAAAAACAAGGATTTACTTTTTAATATTGAAAGTTAGATATATATTAACAAGAATAATTAAACAAGGCTTCAAGTATTTCCTTTCATTAAGATTTAAGACAAGAGACTGCTAGTACAGATTTTCTTTTTTGGAATTTTATCATAGATGTGCTGCGATCAATTAAATTTAAGTAACATGAATGATCTTAATTAAGAAATATTTGAGCATTTATGCGAAACGGGAGCTGAGAGAATAATTTTTTCCTGTGCGATTTTGAATTGTTATCGATTATGCAAAGCGTATTTTTGTATGCAAAGGAGAGTTGAGAGATTATCATTCTTTTTTGAAGCATGAATATGACCTCTAAAATACTTTTGTGACTTTGTCAATTGGCCTCTAGTCTAGATGAACATCAACTGGATATTGTCAGTCTGACATATTACATTGGAGTTTTTAATATTTTAATTATCGATGTTGAAATTAAATGTTATGGAATCCTCAATTGATGAATTCATCATTTTGTTACACTTTTCATCAAAGTTTTTAGTTCTTCCTTTCACTATTACATTTTAAATTCCTCACTTAGAGTTTTAGTTTTTAATTAACTTATATGCATAAAGGCTTTGTACGCATTAGTGCAGGAAAAAAAAAATTGTGGTTCTATGGTACTTTTGTTACTATGTCAACTCCAAGAAGTATGTTTCCGGCCACAACATGTACGTTTGCATTGATGACGGAATCTTCCTTCAAGAATAATTTTTGTCCTCAAAGTGTTGTTTTCCTAAAATTGGAAGTTCATATAGAGTCTTTTTTTTTTCCTTGTATTCAACCGACTTCTGTTAATACACAATTCTATTATATAGGGCCAACTTGTAGGAGTTGAGCTATAATTGATGTAGGACAATCCTATTATAAATAGGATAGTAGTTAGTTATTATTACAGTAGGATTTGTTTTTCCTTTTAGATTAGAGTTGTATTTTCCTTTTAGGATTTTAGTTTTTTTCCTGGCATTGATAAGATAATGGAATTATTTTGCCTATATAAAACAAAGGCTTTACATACTTTTCAATAACCAATTCCTTATAGTGAAATTATTTTCTAGATATTTTCAAGATCTTCCACTTTAATTTAACAGAAGCCAATACTTGTGTCACCAAAGGCAAAGCAAAGTTCACAATGGTAAGATTCCCCCCCACCAATTTCTTATAGTAAAATTATTTTCTAGATATTTTCAAGATTTTCCAATTTTTGTTTTAAAATTTTCAATTCTACTTCTGCACCATTTTTTCTGAAGTCACGAAGAAAGACTTGTGTACTGCAGGAAACAATGAAAGATAATTTGACAGAAGACAGTACTCGTGTCACCAAAGGCAATTCAAAGTTCACAATGGTAAGATTTTTTGATACCAATCTTCAAGTAGGGAAAGCAATTTTGAATATATACATTACTCTATGGGTAGGAGGCAAGATGATAAATGGGTATGATGCTAAAGAGACTACCAATCATTGCCTTAGTAGAAACAACACTAACTTACTTAAGATAGAGATAGATAACGATTGACAACATAACAATACAAAACAAGACTATTTCATTTGGCACAAAAAGAAAAATTAGAATACATATTTTGAACTAAATGAAGAGAATTGCATTCTACTATATCAACATGAAATTCACTACGTTGACAGTAGATAAAACTCTTTAATAGAATATCTAACAATTTTGCCTCATGTGATAAGCCACATTTCTTTTATGTTAGGCTACTTGCCTTAACAATGACGATGAATCAACTGAGCCTGTATAACTACTTTCTTCAAATCAATATTCGTTTTATAACATCATCAATAATCTTTAACATGTTTTCTAATCTTTAACAACAATATGAGGGCCAGTAAACAGTAACTTTGTAAGGAAACCAATCATCAATTGGTAGCTCCCAATCCTTAAAAAAAAAAAAAAATGTTTGTTCAGATAATAGTTTTATAACATCACCAATGATTGTAAATTTAAAGTGGTACGTAGTGGGTTAGAAAAATCAAAGTCTTTATTCCACAGCATGAATGGACAAGCCAAAACAAGAATGAAAATAAATAGCAAGACAGAATAGGAACAAAAAGGAACAATAAAGATCTTTATACAACATGAAAAATCTCCATTTGAAAAAAGAATGAATTACATTTTTAAACAATTTGTACTCTCTCTCTCTCTCTCTCTTTAAATTCAGTCAATCAATAAGAACACTAGTCAGGATTTTCTAGAGAACAACTTCAATTAAGCCTTGACTTACAAAAACGATTGAGCAAAATAGAGCAATTCAAAGTGAGGTTCGAAGCCATAAACAGATTTGCAAATAAGCAAATAGAGCTTAACCTTAGATTCTCAAGCTTGTGGAGCATGATTTTTCTTTTCCATTGAAGATCCTTCAACAGCATCGCACTTTCTCTTCCTTCCCTTCAGTTCATGAACACTGCTATCGCCGCCTTCACCCATTGGTCTGAGTCAAGGGCGGATCTAGGGATAGGCCGGGCTGTGCTAAAGCCCGTCCCTCTAGTCCAAATGCTAATTAAAAAGAAAGATTTCAATATATAAAAAAAAAAAAAGAAAGAAATTATGTGTGATTTTTTCTTTTAGACATGTCAGCCCGTGTCGAATAATTTTCTAGATCCGTCACTGGTCTGAGTGTCTCTAATAGTGCCGATGGCGATGATCAATGGGGCTAAATCTCATTTGATTTCATCACTTCTAGTCACGTGGCAGCAATAAGTGGATTATGGTTTAATTTTGGGCTGAACGTATAAACTACGTTATATTAAAGGTTGATAAAAAAAAAACAAACAAAAATTAAATTTTGCTGCACCAATCAATTTTCAAACTCAAAGGTCGTATGGGCCCAATTTCCTCAATATCCAACCCTTCAAATCCAATAAAAAAATGACTAAGCCCATCAAAACCTAACCCTAATTTCAGTTCAAGGTGTTTTTTCTCAGTTGGTTAAAATTTCTTATAAAACCCGACCCGACCCATTTAATTAAAAAATTAATTTATAAAAAAGAGAAACCATTAAGATTCAACCTTTTATTATTTACGCCCATTCTTCTGCCGATCACACCTTCGCTCGCCACCCACGGGCCACCGCGGACCAGGTTTGTGCATCTGAGAATAAATATCACCTGTATGGTCGTGTCATGTTTAATTAGTTGAATCTAACTTGTGTCTAATACATGTATGTAGATCTGAATTATTATTATTTTTTTTAATGTAAAACGGGAGCTGAGAGAATAATTTTTTTCCTGGGCGATTTTTGAATTGGTTATCGATTATGCAAAGCATATTTTTGTATTCCAAATGGGAGTTGAGAGATTTTCATTCTTTTTTGGAGCCCGAAGATGACCTCTAAAACACTTTTGTGATTTTGGCAATTGGCCTCTGGTCTTGATGAACATCAGTTGGAGATCGTCAGTGTAACATATTACATTGGAGTTCTTAATATTTTCTACTATCGATGTTGAAATTAAGTTGTCAAGGAATCCTCTGTTGATGAATTTATCATTTTGTTCCACTTTTCATCAAAGTTTTTAGCTCGTCCTTTCACTATTACATTTTAAATTCCTCACTGAGAGTTTTAATTGTTAATTATCTTATATGCATAAGGCTTTGTAAGCATCAATGCAAGAAAAAAAAAATTGTGGTTCTATTTATAATTTTGTTACTATGTCAACTCCAAGAAGTATGTTTCCAGCCACAACATGTACGTTTGCATTGATGAGGGAATCTTCCTTCAAGAATAATTTTTATCCCAAGTGTTGTTTTCATAAAAGTGGAAGTTCATCTAGCGTTTTTTCTGTATTCAACCGACTTCTGTTCAGAGCCGGTTTTGGGCCGAAGCAAGTGAGGCCCTGGGTTCAGGCCCAAAAATTTAAGGACCCATTTTATTTTTTTTTTCTCGAAACCTAATTCCTAATCCCTGGCTCTCTGTCCCGGTTGCAAGAGGAGAGGCGTCTGGCGAAGAAGAACACAAGAACCAGAGTCCAGAGAAACTGAAAAGTGAAAGGCAAAAGTAAAACTCACGTTACCCAGCCGTCCGCCGCGGCCGCCTGCCTGCCGGTATAAAGTCTGATTTCTATGTATTCCTTCTTCTCTTTTTTGCATTGAAGAATTTCTCAGATAGTGGATTGAATTATTCTGTTGTTATTTGGAATTTGGAAACAATGATCTCAGTCTCAACGATACACTGTTTGCGGCCTGTTCATAACTTGGTCTGTTGCGAATTGCAATGTGATGATAGCTGGCTGGTGGTGTGGTGATTTTCTGGTATAATTTGCTTTTACGTTGCTGTCCTTGTATTTGTGCTGGAATACAAAACATGGTTCTATCAGTGTTATGGGTTTTTTAACGTGAAATTTGTAAAATAGGATTTTATTTTGATGCAACCAATTTTTGTCTGTTTTGTATAATTGAATGATTAATTACAATGCCCTTTTCTTCCACTGGGTTGTTTCTAGATATGTGGATCACTGTTAAGGGTAATATTCCTCTTAGATTATATATGAAAATAATCTTTTAAGATGTAACCCTATTCAATAATCATGATACCAGGAACTTGTCAGTGGTGATCTATATTGCATCATTTTTGAGATTCTTTCCTAAGATATTGTTATTGTCATAAGATTTATTTGACATGATTCTGGAGAAATATGCATAAATAAGTGTATTTAAGAGAATGATAATATAGTGTAAAATAAGTGTTCTTGTTGTAGTTTCAAGTGGTGTGAAAGAAATATCTTTGACTAATAAATTTTGATAGTTCTCTTTGGTCAGTAGGCAGAACAAAATTAGTTTTTTACCCTTTGATTATCAATCAACCCCTTCGAATTTCTTGTTTTAGCTGTAAATTGGAAGTTTCTTTACCTATTCGTTTAATGATTCTTTAGTTTTTCTTTTATCGATTATGCAAGAATATTTTTTTATGCAAAACGGGAGCTGATGGATTATCATTCTTTTTTGGAGCGTGAATATGATCGCTAAAACACTTCGTGACTCTGTCAGTTGGCCTCTATTCGTGATGACCATCAGCTGTAGATTGTCCGTCTGATATATTAGTACGGAGTTATTAATATTTTGATTCAATGTTGAAATTACAGTTGCTACAGAATCATCAGTTGACGAGTTTACCATTTTGTTATACTTCTTGAGTTCTTGTCAAAGTTTTTTAGCTCATCCTTTAGCCATTACACTTTAAATTCTTCACTAAGAGTTGTAATTGTTAATTATCCTATATGCATTCCTTGAGGCTTTGTACATGTGAATGCAAGAACCTACTAAAAAAATTTATGGTTCTATGGTACTTTTGTTACCATATCAACTCCAAGATGTATGTTTCCAGCCATAACTTTTACATTATGCATTGATGAGGGAAATCTTCCTTCAGGAATAATTTTATATCCAAGTGTTGTTTTCATCGAAGTGGAAGTTCATTCAGAGTTTTTTTTGTGGTCAACCAACAATTCTGTTACGTAGGATCAGCCCTATAGGAGTTGAGATAGAATGTTCCCTTTTAGATATAGCCTGTTATAAAGAGGATAGTAGTTAGTTATTATTATAATAGGATTTATATTTCCTTTTATTTTTGAGTTTTATTTCCATTTTTGGACTTTAGTTTACTTTCCATTTAGAATTTTAGTTTTGTTACCTTATATTTATGGAATTATTTCAATAACCAATTTTTTACAATAAAAATATTTTTTTTAAACATATTTTCAAGGTTTTCAAGTTTATTTTTGTTTTAAAATTTTCAATTTTGCTCTCGCACCACTTTTTTTGAAGTCACTTAGAAAGCCTTGTGTGCTGCAGGCAACAATGAAAGATAATTTGACAAAAGCCAGTACTCGTGTCACCAAAGGCAAAGCAAAACTCAAAATGGTAAGATTTATTTTTTCCCTGAGATTACACCTGTAGGAGTTGATTTTCCTTTTTCTACCGTCACTAAGAAGACTTCTGTGTTACAGGCAACAAAGAAAGATGATGTGACCAAAGCAAGAACTTGTGTCAGCACAGGCATTTCAGTTGGCAAAAATCAATCTAATTCGTCCACTTTTAAGGGAAAAAATGATTTCTCTAAGGCCATTGGGGAGGGAAAAGAATTTTCGGTGAATCCATCTCAACAGGGCGTTCTAAAGAAAAGTTGTGAATCAAATATACACGATTCAGAAGATGAGGTGATGCAACAAGCAATGGAATTGTTAGGAGAGTTTCACAACCATGAACTTTGCTGCAAGAATCGAAAGAGAAGGATGGAAGAGAGTTTACTGATAATTAATTGTAATAACAGATTAAATCCTCAGTTTTATTTAGTTTTTATTCTGAGTAGTCGACTAACTTCTACTTTCTGGTGTTAGATATTACTGAGCGCGAATCTCCATCTCCTCCACCACCAGAGTCAGTGGTAATATCATCATGTTCATTTCTCTCTGATATTCTTGCAATGCATATATGATTTTTAGTCACGCAGTATATCATATAGAATAGGGAAAATTGCAGCCGAGATACCAAACATTTCGTTTATTAGCAGACTTTGCCCAAACCTTTAGTAGGTGCCACTGGAGGTACCGAACCTTTCAAAAATTAGCACCCGAAGTCCAAATGGATGGAAATCGTCCGTTTGACCATTAGTTGACCAATAAAATTAAACATTGACCAATTTTTGATTAATTGAAAAGGGTAAAAAAGTAAAAGTACTTAACCCTATAATGAAACAATTAAAATAAATAACTAAAACAAAAAAAAAAAAATTACTATTCATCTACACCTTCACCCACCCCACCCCCACCCCATCCCGAATTTAATTAGAGGGAAGATGAGTGTTTTGCAATATAAAGAAGGCGTGGGTTCTAATGATCTTCAGATATGGAACAATGCCGCATTTGATAATGGAGATCTTAAAGAAATTTCAGGGAATAAGCCTTCATGGAGTCCTATAAAGCCCATGTTGTTGAATTCGACAAAGTCGATCATCTCGGATTCTTCGAGCAAAGAGAATGAGGGTCCTCTGTTTGGGAACCCAATTTCTTCTGTTTCTTCTTCTCTCAGATTTGTTGTGCCACCCTTCAAGCCGGTTAATGTGAATGGAGCTTCAGAGAATTTGAAAACTAGAGGAATTTCAAAACAGGCTTTTGAAGAGAAGGTGGATTTGAAGAGTTTCGATGAGGAAATCGAGGAGATTGAGATGGAAATTAAAAGATTGACTTCAAGATTAGAGGCTCTGAAACTGGAAAAGGCTGATAGTATGGTTTGGATGGGGTAGGGGTAGCGTGGGGGGTGGGGTAGGGTGAAGAAGGAGATGAATAGTATTTTTTTTTGTTTTAGTTATTTATTTTAATTGTTTTATTATTGGGTTAAGTACTTTTACTGTTTTACTCTTTTCAATTAGTCAAAAATTGGTCAATGTTTAATTTTATTAGTCAACTAACGGTCAAACGGACGGTTTCCATCCATTTGGACTTCGGGTGCTGATTTTTGAAAGGTTTGGTACCTTCAGTGGCACAAACTAAATGTTTGGGCAAAGTCTGCTAATAAACGAAAGGTTTGATATCTCGGCTGCATTTTTCCCTATAGAATATTGAATACTACAGCTGACAAGACTTATTTATTTCGTTTTAATCTTTAATGTCGTTCAGCATTTTTTTGTCCCAAATTACCTGCAAAAGCAAGAAATATTTTCGCCTTCACCATTTTTTATTTTTTTTAAAAGAACACCTTAGGTGTATCATGTTCACTTTAGTGCATTTTTGGTACGTAAATTAGACAAGATTTTAACTTATCTTCATCTTTAATGATATCCATTCAACCTCCAAACAAGTAATGTTTTGTCATATTACTTCGCTATAATAGCATCTGGTATAACGACTCTTAAAACTAACTCTTGATCACCCTGCGCAGATTTTGGAGCAAAAAGAGGAACTTAGAAAGCTGTACCAAGTCTTAAGAGGAGAGAATATACCAAGAACACTCTAGGAGGACCTTATTTGGGTTCGAAGCTGAGAGAGGTCTGATGAATCCTTGATCCTCTCGTGATCTATGTATTTGGACCACAGTGTGATGTTCTTCATTACTTTTGCAAAGACTGCTTATGATACCTTGTGATTTTGTTCTACTTTTAGATGAAGTTTGTCGTTTAGTCAAAACTATTTGACTAATAACCCTTAATTATCCTTGTATATGTTTTCTCTAGTTTGATTTTACCACAAAAGTCTGATGTATCATATTGGCGATCTCTGGCTGATGTTCATCAAGACCAGAGGCCGATTGACAAAGTTACACGAGTGTTTCAGAGGTCATGTTCACACTCCCAAAAAGAATTATAATCTCTCAGAAAAATCAAAATCACCCTACTTTTAGATAAAATCTATTTTTTCATATTTGTGGAAAGTATGTATTTTCTTTGTTTCTTCATTATCTTTGACCAAGATCATAAATGATAAGAAGATAAATTTTCGTTATTTAATGTTTGATATTCAGATCTATATATAAGTATTAATAATTTAATAGACTTCGAATTATACTCAACTAATTAAACATGACACGTTCACACGTTATATTTGTTATCAGATGCACATGCCTTTTATTGGTTGGCAGTGGGGGGTTAGTAGGTGGCAGGTGGCGAGGGGCGGCGAGAAATTTTATAGGGTCGTGAATGAAAGAGGCGTGAAAAATACAACTATGATTTAGAAGGTCGCTGTTTCTTATAAATTAAAATTAAATTGTGTGTCTTTTATTTGTTAATTGAGACCGTGCATATTACTTTAAATTAATGACAAATTCTCCCCCCACCCCCGCCCCCCCGGTCTTAACTTTTAATAAAACAAAATACTTGAATTTTATTCAATTATTCTTGTCAAATACATATCCTTATTTCTAAATTGTGCACCAACTATCCAAAGGGAATTATGTACCAAGCTACTTGTACAGGGGATTTCTCCCTTGGAGAAAAACATATATACCTTACACATATATATAAAAAAAAAAAAAATTATATTTTACTACTATATTAAATTAAAAACAGATTACGACAAAATCAAATAAAAATATCAAAAGTATTGTAATATAAACTTTCCTAAATTTCATAGTAACTTAAACGTTATACGAGATTCAAAATGGATGGATGAATAGAATATGGTAAAAATATGCGCATTCAAAGGATTAATAGAGACTTTCCTTAATTTGTATTGTAAATTACTTGTTGCAGTACATGGTTCCTGCTGCTGCTGTTGACACATAAAAATTCAGCCCAAATCGAACGGCCCAAGGAGTGAAGCCCAATTGGAGGATCCCCAAATCAGATAGCCCAAAGAACGAAGCCCAATCAAACAAATCAAGATGAAGGCCCAAATAGGGAGGCCCAAAAACGCGGTAACGCCATGGCCCAAACTTGCAAGTCGCCCAGAATCTGAGCGAATGGAGTGTCATACAGTCGCCCAGAGTTGTTACTCTATTCTCGCCCAAACCTTCAAGTCGCCCAAGGTCTTAACAAACATAAAGTGTCGTGGTTATTAAGAAATGCAGTTATCAAAGCAATTATTAAAGCAGCCCTATCACGTTCCACGATTCAAGGAATTCAATCGAAAGCGGTTGAACGACGAAGAGTAATGGCAGCAGTTAAAAAAGGCAATTTTCATGACAAGTTGGCCATTACGAGGAAAGTGGGCAGTTATAGGACGATCAAGCAGTTTTTATGGCGGTTGATCACAAAGAGATCGTCCATGAAGTATAAAAGGGAGAAAAGACATAGAGCAAAGGACCGAATCAAAAACTCTCGAACAGAGAACATATAATTTTAATTTCCTTAGCTTAGACTTAAACACTTTTCTTTCAGTAACTCGTGTGCTTGCGCCCCTTGGAGGCACATTGTTTTTAATTTCCAATTGTAAAGTCATCGCCAATAAAAGAACACCCCTTTTTGGGACTTTGTCTCAAGAGGTTTGTCCCTTACACAATCGTCTGATCCTTTTTAATTGTTAGCGACTAAC